GTGCGGATTCATATCTGCTCCTAACGAGTTCTAACACTGTGTTACATAACATATATCTTGCGAATACATCAAACACCAAATATTACTAGAGCCGACTTTTTGAGAATGTTTGTCAAATACTTCATATTGTTTTTTAAATATTTTTTTTAGTACATATTTGTTTCAGTGTACTTAAACAACTTCCTGGTTGAAGTGATTACAAAGCGATAACGTTTATCACTGTGTATTTTCAATTAATAATTAACTTTTAGCACTCCTTTCTTTTTGTGGTCAATTATTTTATGCAAAAAGGGGCGCAACGTCAATTATAATATAAAAAAAAACACGTTTTGTTATTTGATCGTGTGATTTATATTATACTGTTTATAATATTTTACAAATGAGTAAGTTGATTTTGATACAAACTACCATAATGTAATACGTATAGTTTACATACCTCATGTGATAATATGAACTGTTAAAATCACATTGGATTATAAGTATTTTAATTTCACTGCCATACCCACACATCAGTATTGCCATTTAAAAGATTTGATTGACATTGAAATGTTTCAAAACTTGTCTAAAGAAACTGGTATCGAATTATTATTATTAAATAATTAGGAGTATGCATTGCTATACAGACGATAGTACAGTGCATGCGAGATACTTTGGACACGCAGCGGCGGGACATGTAGAAACGGGAGAATCTTGTCCCTGAACGCAATCAGGTTTTGGAGCACATTTTCGAATGGGGTAGCAGGCACTTGGTTGAGTTCAATACCAAGAAAACTCAGGATTGCGCTTTCACGGCAAAAACATCGCCATTCCTTCCCCTTCCCTCCACAGAGCAACATCACCATACTCGGTATGGAAGTTCGCGCCGACCTGAATCCAAAGGACTACATCGAGACCGTGATCGAAACAGCTTCACGCAAACTTGGAGCCCTGAACAAGGTGCGGCGTTTTTTCACGCCTGATCAACTGTGTACAAAACGCAAGTGCGGTCCTGCGTGGAATACTGCTCGCACCTCTGGGATGACTCCGCTAAGTACTTACTCGATGCCTTGGATAGGTTGCAGCGGCGCGCTGCCCGCATCATTGGCGATGAAGAGGTAACTAACAAACTCGAGTCTCTACAATTACGCCGCGATGTGGCATCATTAGCCGCATTCTACCGACTATACCACGGCGTGTTCCGAGGAGTTATTCTTCCTTATCCCTCCTTTACCTTTTATTCAGAGGACCACGCGCGCTGGCCTACTTTGCCACCGACTTACTGTGACCTTTGTTACTACACGAACAAATAAATTTGGTGACTCATTTCTTTGTCGTGCTATTCGTAAGTGGTATTCTCTGCGCACGTGTTCCCTCCTTCCTACAATCTGGGGTACTTTAAGAAAGGCGTCGAGAAGCATTTTTGCAGGCCGGCAAGGTGAGGATGGTTGGTGTAGCAGTTTATAGCTGCTGTACCAGCTATCTCCGCGTTTGGACTTTATCACCCTTAACATCAGGTGGGGTAGAGTCATTTGCCTACCTGGCTATAAAAAAAAATAAACGGGTCAAATGTGTCACTATTTTGTATCAAAACTATGTTAGTTGTTAACCATATATGTTTTGTTTGCAGTATCAAACTTAGTTATTGACACTGCATACATTTTTAAAGTGAAAACTTCTTTAGCGGCGTTGTATACTTTTTTGTAATGGGTAAAAACTGTTAAACTCGCGTCAGGACACGTGACCTAATCGAAAATTCGTAAAATGAAAACAATAAAATTGGAAAGGTTGTTGAATTTCAATATATTGGACGGAACATAGTAATATTTTATTTTATCTTATTATAATAATAAGTATCTAATTAGGACGTCCAGGTGGCAACTTTATTGCGAAGAAAATGCATTTTTTATACAATAGATGTCGCTAGGTGCACTTAAATGTGATTCATGTAAGTTGATTTTTCTGAGAGAAACTTTTTAATGTAATATAGTTTGTCATGTTTGTGTACGATAGCGCAATAAATAAATATTGTATTCTACCACATAAATGATATTACTTTCATACTAATAAATTAAAGCAATTCGTGCAAAATTATTCCCTAAGCATTCCAAAATATCAAAATTGCACAACGTTAATATTCAAGTTTTCACTTCTGCCGGCACTCCCGGAGTGCAACCCGTCGTTTTTTTCTGTAAAGCACGTTTCTGTGTAAAACTTAGATCTTAATAACAACAAGTGTTTTTTGAATAAACATTCTCTTTGATCGTTGGCTCAGATTTGTGGGTGTATTAACTTCTTTTTGATCACGGTATTAAATAGTCTAAACGAGAGGCCACGGTACAATCGGCGCCAAGCTAGCGGATATGATTTGCTATTAGCATAGCTTTTATCGCATGGCAACAAAAGTGATATTCGTATAGCAAATGAATATATCCACTGGCATGTCCTCGACCGTACATTCACTCGTATCAGTTGATACGCCTGTTACGCTTAAAACGGAACAAATATGATGGCTGCTGGACTTTCCGTAATTTTAAGTTTCTTATGGCGAGTAATAGTGTAAGGACGAGGGTGGGATAAGCTCAGTTTCGCGCAAAATCATAGTAATTATTGAACGTTGTATAACAACTTGATGAACATGCTATTTTTTGTTAATTTAAATTGTATTTAGAACTAAATTGTGTCCGCACCTTTATCATTACACAAACTGTCAAATCTCCAACTGATTTTAAACTTCGCGGGTCGTATAATAAAGTTGAGTACTTAGATTAAAACAAAAAGGGAAGATACGGTACGTTCATACTAGCATGAAATAAAATATGCTCCGACTCAAATACTTATGCGACTCTCACGCACGCATTGTCCTTTTCTTGATAACAAATGGCGAAAAAGTAAATAACATTCATGACAAACCGTGATTTTTGAAAAAAAAATGTTTTCATAGTTTTACGAATGAAAAGTACGTAAGAAAAAAGCATCGAAGGCATTGTTTCATCTTTATAACACGGAATATACGCAATATTGTTATATTGAGTGCACATGCAGCGTGTTTTCATGTCCAATTGTGACTAAAGCGAAATGTGGTCATGTGCCGTATCTTCCCCTTTTGTTTTAATCTTAGTTTGAGTATCAATTAACATTGTTTCACTTTAAAATTCCTTCCGAGCAGGTATAAAATCCCATCTAAGTTTACCACACTCGACTGTTAGCATTTATAATTGATTTACAGCCTAGTATATTATGAATGTGTTTAATCCCCCCCAACCCCCCCCCCCCCCCCCCCACTGTCGGCCGCGGTGGTTGGCCGGTGATTCTCAGTGGAACATCTATTTTATTTGTTTGTTAATTAATTAGCACCAATAATGAGTAACTAATATTAATAAACTTACATTATTGTAACCGTATGTCACGAATAAACATGAAAAACGTTAAATGACTTTTATTCTTTGTCCCCTCGCATTGTTAATGGTTGGCCAGATTTTTACTAGGTATTTCTTTTGTAATTTTGAGAGAAGTATAAATTATTCTCTTGCTCTTGGAATGAAAGGACAGACTACTGTTACATTTACAAATCTTATATATGAATAACAAATGTTGGGAATTTGAATTATGAACATTTAGTATTTTTAACAGCATAATTATATAAGGGTGTTTGTTACCAGGGGGCCAATCGCCTAACTGGATTGATTTGGAAAACGCTATCGCTTACGATTTCATTTTGTTATTTCTAACCGCCGAAATACCTCACGCTCATTTTCTTTAACATTGTTATTACCAATGCAAAAGAAAAAAAAAGAGCGCGAGGCATTTGAAAACCTCAGGGGGCTAGAAATAACAAAATGAAATCGTAAGCGATAGCGTTTTCCAAAGCAATCCAGTTAGGCGATTGGCCCCCAGACCTATCGATCGACTACCCTGGCTGCTCTCGCAATTTAAGGACAGACTACTGTTACATTTACAAATCTTTTAAATGAATAACAAATGTTGGGAAATTGAATTATGAACGTTTAGTATTTATAACAGCATATATATGGGTGTTTGTTACCAGACCTATCGATCGATCATCGATCAACTGGTCTGGCTTGTAGCTTAAATTGATCGACGGATACCGTTCGACTAACCAATCGATCGATGGCATCTCGTCAACGTTGATTGAAGTTAAACGTTGAAATGTAAAGCGGTCGGTGCGGCTTAGCACGCAGCTCGATCGACGTGGACTTATTCATTGACCGGCAATCAATCGATTGGTCTGTTAACACCCTAAGTACCTACATCCCACAAAAAAATGGATGGGCAAACCGCTTAAAAACAATGGATTACGCTAAAATTTAGCACGCAGGTGTACCACTACAAAAAGGATTTTCTATAATTCATCTCCAAGAGGAAATTGGGGTCCACTTTTTATTCAAACTTCACAGAAGTACCTATATTACGTGTAAATGAAATGTGGTAAAAGTCTGTTCGTACATCAATATGGACGTCTTAATTGTTATATTTTTGGTTTGAGAGTCTGCGCTGCATCAAGCTGGAGCACGGAGAGGGCGCCCGCTCCGCGTGTAGATTTATGTAATTTCATAGAACAGCGCTGCGTGGAAGACCCGATTCACGGAGCGCTGCTCTATAAAATATCATGAATCTAACACGCAGCGCAGGCTCTAAGTGTCTGGCCTAGGAAAATGTTAAAAGTACCTATTTTGAACCAAATGTCTAGAAATACATATAAAGATCCAAATTTATATATTTTTGTAGGAATATACATAAACAGCCATGACTTCAATGCTCATGTCATGCTCATATTCAAGTTAACAATAACATTTGCCCTACTGGATTCGAATTCAGGATCTTAGAGCAGGCAACACCTTAAAAAAATGTGTACATACCATTTATACCACAGATGTCATCATAGGGTTCTCGTCAAGGTTATTTGGGCATGAAATTATTATTCTTGGAAAGAATATTTTAACAAATTCTTAATGAGGTGCTCTCAGCTCTCTTCTAAGATAACAGTTTCATCAGGCCATAAATAGAATTAGAAAAATAGAAACAATCTTATAAAATACTTATGTGACTATGAAAAGAAATTGTAATTATATTCAAATGTTTATTCTTGAAAGAAAATAAAATTAAAAACATATTTATATAACACCAAATACTTCATAATATTAACACTTTATACTTAAAATTCTTATACCCATTGCTACCTAAAATATAATTAACAATTATTTATCATGTCCAAATCTTTTTTACTAATTATATGCATAGAATAGCCCGACACCACTATATTATTTATATAGTGTAAAGTTTGGGTCCCATTAAGTGCGCATTCCACAGACCCAGTCCATTACTTCAATTAGAGTCATAAAAAGAAAAAATACAAATGGATAAGCAAAACACAAACCCAAAATACATGTCTATAAAGATACAATTTTATATTTGTTCACATTATATAATTCTTCACAGAAAAAGTATAACTTCTGTGTGATTTTATTGATTTAAATTAATACAAGTTCTCATAATATTTTATGAGGAAAAAATTCCTTCGTAATGTGTAGAGGCCCAGCGGCAATATGTAAAATAAACAGATTTGGCCTGTATTAAGCCTAACTAAATCCCGTTGGATAGAAAATGACTGATGGATTTTATAATTCTCACCTAATGAACTTCAGACCAATGAACATTTGACAAAATCATGGTGGATTAGGTTAAGTTAGTGCTGTGTCAACTAAACTTAGCATGAGCTAACGAAGCGCCAGCCACCTGATAGCACAGACCTGCTACAGACGAAAAACATGAAACTTATTTTTAAGAAGTCGCACGTCGTATAAGTGGGATAACCCTAATAGTGGGAATATAGAGATGAATTTGTTAAAGGCGAAACGCGACGCGTCGTTTTGACTCTACGCCAATGTAAGTTGAGCCTTTGGCATTCTATACATTGCCTAGGTATTGTATAGAACACCAGATTATACAGATTTTGCATAACATATCTATCAAGGAGCTATTTATTGGTTTTGAGATAATATAACAAAGAATGTCTGTGAAGAACAAAAATAATATTATCCAGTAATTACAAATTAATTCTTTCTTATTCCTAAGAAAGGAATAATTTAATGAATAGTACATGTAACTTGTGATAGTATATGGAGTAGTACCTCTAGGTGTGACAACTGTTATTGTTCTCAAATTATACACTTTTGCTCAATACAATAGTCATTGACAATCATTAACAATGACAATATGTAATCAGAAACTTTGTATGTATGAGATTTATTACACTTAAATGTTCATTAGATATCTGTCTGGCATTAAAGGAATGTATGAATTAATTTACCAAACCATTGAACTAGTGCAATATAACCTGAACCAATGTGATTATTCAAATTATACAGTCTATGATGCCCACATATAGAAATATATTTCCTGCCAATGGCTTAGATATTGAATTATAGGACCACATATAAAACCTGCCATTGGTAATTTGTTAGATAATGAACTGAGGATACTTTCTATAACATTCTTTGAGTATCCATTATACATTGGACTCCTTAGCAAATATAAAACTAGTCCTAATTTTCTACGACTGATTTCAAGCCTTTGTTCATATGATAAATCTTGCATGTGCCTGTTGTATAATTTCATGCTAGCCAAATCAAGACCTAGAGCTACTAGCCACTGTTTCCATGCTTTTGTCCCAAATACTCTCATTGCACTAAGATGTATCAATGGTTTTAGGATATGCAATGATTCAGCCAGTAGTAAATTATTAATATCCAATGTCTGTTTGTTGTCATCTTTGACTTTGATTGGTTGCCAGTCACGGAATGAGACTGGAGGAGCTCCGTCAACTTTTCGCACAACTCTCCCTGAACGCCTTAATGTAAAGAAGGCATTTGAGTTTTCATCTGTCTCCTTTCCTTCAGTGAATTTTTTCCTTTGCAATGCAGGAATAGGGGGATGTTGTATAGGTAGTTCCTTATATTTGTACAAGAGTATCAGTGCTGAAGAGCACTTGAAAAGCTGTATTAGAGTTGCAGCTGTCCACTTACCACGTGAACCACACTTCTGTTTGACGACTAGCTCTACGAACACCTCGCAATAATGAATCACTGTTAGGCAAAGCTTTATTTGATCACTTAACCCGTAGTAATGCACTGCTCCTCCGTAAGCTTCCTTGATGAGGCGGTCGTTGAATAGCGACAGGAGTTTAGACAAGGAATACACAAGTTCCGAAACTATTGGGGACTTGTTTATCTTTCCCGCCACAAAATATGAGGACCATGTGGCAACGGTCTCTACATCGGTCACCAGGTTAGGGTTGTTTATCACCCATCGCTTGTACATTTCGTAAAGCTGTTGCAGCGATACTCCTTTATCCATTTTGAATGGATTAAGAAGTTACAACTTCATGTGAAAATTTATATCTCACTTTTTTTTGCACTCACCTAAGTACACAAGAATAGATAAAAGGCTACAAATAATGATTTGTTGAAGATTAGATTTCTTCAGTGATGGCTCCCTCAGGATTTGGCCAATATATTCTACGGATAATCTTTGCAAGCAAAAAGCGAAACGGATGATATTGACTTAATGTCAAAGTCAAGATTTAAAAAAAAAATAAGGTTTTACGGCCGTGAATTTCTCCATTTCGCCCATTCATTAGTTCATTTCATCAGTTTATATGTCTTCGAAAGTAGAATCTATTCTATTCGTTACATATTCAAAGATTATAGGATATGTATCATTTTTTTGTATGATAGATGATAATGGGCTGGGTATTCTGCAGTTATTGTATATTTCTATTAAGCCATCTATCAATAAGATTCCCTGTATATTGAAGGTAGGACATTCTAAGAAAAGATGCTGTAAAGTTTCTACATACCGACAATCATTTTGGTCATCTAGTTTAATTCTCTTTAAATGCTCCCGGAATCTTCCATGACCAATTCGTAAGCGGTTCATAGTAGTAATATATTTTCTAGATGGATGTTTGAATTTTTGGTGAAACGGCTTCTTAGGTATCACATCTTGAATGTTAGCGTACCATGCTCCTTTAACTTATCTAGATTCTTCCTAATACTTATTCCATGTCAGATACGTTCTTTCTTTTATAGTACAATAAAAATCCGTAACAGGAACTGAGGCGTTTTCATGAACTGGAATGTGGAAAGTACCTTTCATCAACGAATCAGCTATTTCATTTCCTGTAATCCCTGAGTGAGATGGCACCCATAGAAATTCGGCAACTTTTCCTTTATCATACAGAACTTTTAAAATTTCTTTTGCGGAATATATGTGCAGGAAGCCTTTTGCCTCTCTGTTCATGAAGCGAAATTTGATACTGTCATAATCACGGTTCCCAACTTAGGGGTTTTGCCCCCAGATTTAGGGGCTAGAAGAGTTAATGTAAAAACAATATTTTTATTTAAAAAAGTTTGCCTGTGTAGCTTTAATCAGAATGAAATTTTAAATTTCATGGAAAATTGCAAACTTTTGAAGTTATACTTCTTTAGGCGCGTTATGAAAAAATGATGAGAGTGAAATTTTAAGATGCGCGCGCATCACTGTAACACAATATTTTAACATAATGAAGTTGGTCGCTTTAGCGACCAACTTCATGCGTTACTTTTGTGTTTACCGCACATTAAGAAAATCTACCAACAAAATAGAAATAGAATCTCTATTTAGTGGGTGCTAACGACTGCATTGTGAAGGCCTATCAAAAGTATTTATGAATCTGGAACAACGGAACCAAAGCGCGATTCAGGAGAGTACAGCGCCATCTCTTGACCATTGGTGTAGTAGAACCAAAAACCACATCTTTATTTTTTGTAATAAAGTAACAAAAAGTATTTATTAATCTGGAACAACGGAACCAAAGCGCGATTCAGAAGACTACAGCGCCATCTCTTGACCATTGGTGTAGTAGAACCAAAAACCACATCTTTATTTTTTGTAATAAAGTAACAGTTATAGGTATTCATATTTATAATATTTATCCACTTGTTTCTAGTTTGTATATTCGGAATACGTGTTTGAGTTTCATACAAGTGCAAATCACATATGTTCTAATAAATTATATTCAGTAGCGATTTTAATTGAATATTTTGATTATATATTTATTTTTTCAAATTAAAACTGAACTTTATTGACTTCGTCTTTTTCCATACTTTTTATTAATTTATTGTAATTCATTATTTGCATGCCATTAAAAACTAATTTTAAACGATGCCAAAGAAGGATAACTTTTCACGCGCCTACATAAGTACACGCACCCATTTTTTTTTATAAGTTGTATATAACAAGAAAATAATCATTAATATATTTGATTAAAACTCTTTTATTTACTTTAGACAAATAAACCAAGTCTATGAACACAAAAATTATATTGATTTAGTTTTAAAAATTGATATTTTTAGCATAATTTATAATTTTTAGTCTGAAAATTTTTCTGAAGTAAACAAAATACCATGGAAATTTGGTATATCCTCATGTGACGCCCATATTTTATCCTGACTTCGAATAGAAAGTTAAAGTAAGCTTCATATGCTTAATTATTAGCCTTTTACTACTGGATAAACAACATTTTTTGACCCTAAATTTAATAAAATCTCTGGAAATAAATCAAACAGAGTCCACGTAGTTTTTACTCATTTTGGAAGACATTTTAACGCTCAAGACTCACAAAATACGTCGTTTCCCTTCAATAAAGATTTTTTTCATGCAACTGAGACATAATATAATGATAGGGTCTATAATGAATAAAAGTATATCATACTAAATATTATAATTCTTTTTCTGACACTCTGTATGTGCTGCTGGTAGTGAAGTAAACAAAAATAACTTGGAAATTTTGTATATCATCATGAGGCGTCCATATTTTATCCTGAAGTCAAATAGGAAGTTAAAATTAAGCATCATATGTTTAATTAAGTCTGTAACTACAGGTTAAACCATTATTATGACTCTAAATTTTAAAAAAATCTCCGCAAATAAAGCAAACAGTGTCCACGTAGTTTTTACTCATTATTACATTACTCATCGGCATTTACCGCTCTAAGCATTTACAAAATACGTCGTTTCTCTAAAAGGTGTGTACATGCACTTAGTGATTGCTCTACTGCTTCCTATTCCATACCCAATATCCTTCTGCACTCCTTTCTTTTGCTTATTAATAGCGGTAGATCCTCAGCCTTTTACAAAAGTCATACATATTTATTTATCATTGTATAAAGTACAAAAGCAAACTTTTTAAAATAAAAATGAGGTTTCTGGCTATTTTTCGATATAAAAAATTAGACAAATAGTCATTAAATAACAGACTCAATTTTTTTTTTCATTTTGTCGACTGGTTTTATCATTGCGTGAACGAGAATTTACTAATTGAATAATTTTCTTTCAGTCAAGTACAAAAATTATGGCAATTATCAATTCGTTATATTTTTTTGAGATGCCCAAAGTTTACACTACTTTAAGTATTTCATTCATTGTAGAAATTGTGAAACAAAATTGGTGTGATTTTGTGTTACAACCATCTGCGCAACTGAAGAATTACTGGAATCTTTAAAATATATGCTATTCCGGTCAAGTGGACGTGAGAACTTTATGAGCTTTTGTGAGGTAATCAACACTACATGATTACCTCACAAAAGCTCATCAAGAAAGCCGAGTCGATGCATTTCATGCCAAATACTTCAAGGAACATTAGAGTGCGTTATATACACATTCTAATGTAAAAAAAAGAAAATACTATTCTGTATGGGAATTGTTTGCTTTGTCTTCCCTAAAAAGGGTAAGGAAGAAGAAAGAAAGAATATGTCAAATAAAATCTCTTGACTGGCCATGGCTACTGGCTGGCCAGCTTGGACTATCGTCTGTGCTATCGTCCCGGAGAAGTGTGGTGTTGTGTTCTTTTTATATGGTATTAATTCAATAATTTGTTAGTTAACGTGCCTATGTTGATGATGTGCTAACTTTAAATAATAAAAAAAACATCGCATATAATTTTACACGCTCGAATAATGTCAGCAATGGACGCCAATGTGCAAGACGAAGAAAATGCTGTGGTCTCACACAGCTTCAAAGACTACCAAAGAGCCCTTGGGCCTTCATTAGACGGTACAGACAAGAAAAATCTATTTTGGATGGGCGGCGTGATGGACTGTTTTTCGACGGTTTTGTCAATTTTCGGTCGCACGGAGTTAAAAACATCAAAAGGTTTGTAACGTTTGTATATATTTAGGTCGCTTCTTGTGTACCCTTTCCCGGAGTCCTTGTGATTCATTGCATTCAAGGACGATGCGCTACGCAGGTATTTGATTGATTTTGCCGGATGTTCATTCCCGAGATGTAAGCTCGTGCAATACATGTGCACCTGAAGCTCTTGTATTGGTTATGGTGATATCGTATTTTTATATATGTCGTGATTGATTTTATAGCATCCTTAGATGGACTTTTTTAGCCTTTTTTGATTCAATTTCGACAGTAAATAGATCTGATAAGGATATTCTTGTTTGATTGAATTCCATAAGTATTTACAGGAATAAGAAAAGGGTCTTATTTCAAATTTACAACAATAAAGTGAAAAATGCTACAGAATTTATTTTATGAAATAGGACCTAGAACATAAACACATAATTTTTTGCTATTCAATAGCGTATTTTCCAAATTTTTGAAAACTGCTTATATAAAGATTGGGACAAACGATTTAACAGAAAAATAAAAATATATAAATTAATGTCTTTTTCTCCATTATACCAATTAAGATGAATTTATTTTTAATGGTTTTGAATGTATCGCTAAAGCCCTCGGTTCGATGTCTACTGTGTGACATCAACTTTGTGACAAGAATTTATCACCTATGTAGTCTGTGGACGATCTGTGATTACGGAGTAATTATTTGATGATTTATTGTCTTAGAGTATTATTATATTTTCTGAAAGCCGACAGTGCAAATCTTCCTGTAGTAGTTGTTTTTATGGTTGCAAATTTCTTCGCTACTAATCCTGATTTCTGTGCTTCAGAGTTTCCAAACATCAAAAAATTTGTTTGTGTTATACTATAAATTTATCCCAAATGTCAAAAAGTTAATAATTTGAGCTTCAGATGATTACATAGCTATTTATCTAAATAATCAATTTTTAGTTTAAGTGAACCTTTTGCCGATGGATGTTGTGTACACAAAGTTGACGTCACACAGTAGATGTCATCGAACTTAGCGTTTTGGCGGTAAATTCAAAACCATTAAAAATAAATTCAACTTTAATTGGTTTAATGGAGAAAAAAAGACATTAAATAATTTGTTTTTATTTTCTGTTAAATCATTTGTCTCAATATTTAAAAATAAGCAGTTTTCAAAAATTTGGAAAGCCCTATTCAACGAATATGATTGAAATGTACCAACTTTATACAATTTACCACTCTTGATCTATGGTTGCTTTCACTTTTAATGACCTTAGTATGATGTGTTTTTTAAATACCACTTCATTTTGTTTCCTCGAACTTCAAAAAGTTGGTAAATAAAACATTGTGTTGCAATTGCAACAGCGCTTTGGTATAATACAACAATCCTAATCCTGTTGTTTCTCAAAAAGAGATCAAACTTCTGACTTTGGGACTGGCAGATATATAAAATCTTAATAATAAGTTTTATAAACAACAACTCATTCTTAAGTAATATGAGATTTGGTAATATCAACATGTAGTTACTTTTGAACTGACGTGTCCTCAGCTATCTTTTGCTCTTAAAATTCAAATGTACTGCAAAACTAGCGTGATGGTATTTGACAGCATTGCATAGGTTGCATTGAGCGAGATCATTGCTGAGCTGTACCTTTGGCCTTTCTAAAATACTTATTACAGTGGATCCCCAGTAGTCCGACAAACATTTTGCAGGGCAGTGTCGAACTATCGAATTTGTCGGATTATAGAGTACTGCCTAAGACTATAGTCCGATTTTTTTTACAAAAGAGTACCTTGTAATCCGGTAAATTACAAATCCAATGATAAGATTACAAATCATACTTTGTTATGTATGTCAAATTTAGTAAATAAAACAACACAATAGTAAGATTACGTTTTATTATAAAAGTAAAGTCATTACTGCTATAGAATTTACAAAAAAATATAAAAAAAAATACCCTACGCGTAGCACAATAGTGATGGTGCGTACAAGTTGTAACTTGTTCAATCGTGAATTGCGAATACTTGTATGTAATAGACGATGTCGGATTAAAGGGGGTGCCGCATTAGTCAGGGGCCGGATTACCGGGGCTCCACTGTATATAATATCTTACTATGATTTTAAGCCTGCATAGCGAATTTTTGTATAAAGAGTTTTTTTTTATTTTAAAGCTCTTATTTCATCATATACTTTTTAATGTACTCACTGCTGTGGCCTTCCCTATGGATGGAATAGGGAGATTGGGCCATGTACCACCACATGGGCCCAGTGTGGATCGATGGGTGCTAACATCTGCAGTTGCAGCTGCCATCAACCATTTAATATGCCTTCTGAAGCATGGATGAGCTGAGCTCCAGATGGTATTTTTTTCCCGTCACCAATCCAATACTCAACTACTGCATAACTTCAACAATAGTGCCAAACGAGATAACCACTTGCGCCATCAAGCTCCTTAACTCTATTTATTACACTTTAATAAGCATACATAACATCAATGTAAATCTGCAGTAACCAAAGTATCTTATGAGAAATTTTAAAAACATTTCTATATTTTTTATTAAATTGGGACCACTTAAAAAGTTTTTGCTTATAATAAATGGGCATCACAGTAATTTCTGACTTCTTTTAAACATGTGATGCCTTGTATACAGTTTCTCTAAGCAATCAAATTCATATCAATTGTACAGTCCCATACTCAACAGAGATCCCACCATGGTAACAGAACTACAGACAAACATGCATAAATCAATATACAAGCCACTCAATTGTTATTCTTGCTGTGCTCATAAATATGTGAACTGTAACTGTTAAAGTTATGTAATATGTTGGAAGTTGAATTCACTGCTTATTTTTGCTAATGTAACTTTTCAACAAAATAACCCTATTTGAATCAAACATATTCATTTCATACAAGCTCCTGAATGTACAAAATAGGTCTTTATTTTTTTGCTCTTAAAACTTTTGAATGTGTCAATTAAAATTTTATTTTTCAATAATTATGTATTGTATGCGGTATTGTGCTTTGCGGTTCATAAAATGATGCTATTAAGTAACTGTTCATAAAATAAAATTCTATAGTTAAAATTCAAATAGAAATAAACATTTTATCTATTTTCTCATCATTAAAAACACAGAATGAGTTGTGTTGTTTCTATATGAATCAAAAATATTTGACTTTTAACCCACATTATAGCTAGAACTATTTCTACCTCAAAGAGAACCAAAGTGTCTTTAAACACATCTTGAAGATCAGGAACTTTGTTCAAACTTCAATGAATTACTTTGTCATTATAATATTGGCCAAAGGCATTCTCCTTTGCCAGTTCAACATCTTTAATAGTTACTAGTTACAGTAATAGTTATAGTCTTTAACAATTTTAAGCCAATATCAGACAATGCAGATATCAACGAACAGCAATGTGACCTTGTAACAGACACATCCAGCAGCTGGACTCAGACCAAATTTATTTCTGGCAACTGTTTTGGTTTTTCATATTTATTAAAAAGTAAAGGAGTAAACAACCTAATGCTATTTTCAAGTACTATAGGTGAGGTGCAATTTGTTAGGTACCGTTGTGAAAACAAATTGATTATTTTACTTTTAAATAAATAAGAAATAACCACATATGTTCCAGAAATACGTTTTGTGACGGTCCCGCTGCTGGATGTGTTACTCGCATTGTGTGCAATGAAATTTAATTAAATGAATGAAATGAAATAAAATTAAATGAATGATATGAAATAAAATTAAACTTTATTAAAATCAACTTTTTGAATTGTCCAATATTTTTTCCTACCACCTTTTTAGGACATGTTTTAGCTAACGAGCAGAATGGGCGTAAGAAACTCATCAGCATTTAACAAAAGTAGCAACATTTACAAAAAACATGTCGCTACCAATACAAAGTCCACTCACATTTTGATAACTGTGTCACATACAGTTTAAGTACAAATAGTGTTATTTATATTAGATAATGTCTGCTAATTTCAGCTTCATATGTCAGACTCAGCATTGTGTAATAAAAGGTTATGTTTTATATACAACTAGCTGTGCCCTGCGATGGTACCTGCGGTTCATAAGGGATATTTTCCCGCGGTAAAACGTAGCCTATGTGTTCGAACAGGGTGCCAGCTAAGTCCATACCAAATTTTATTAAAATCGCTCCAGCCATTTCAGAAACTTTCGCCTTTATAATATTAGTGTGACTAAACTTTTAACAAAAATAGAATAAGACTTGTGACTTAATGAAACCTTAATTTTAATTAGGGTCTCCGAGTGCTTTATTATATAATTATTGTCGAATTTTAACTATAATGAAATTTAAGATTTCTTAGTTTTCTTACAGACATTTTATTATTTATGCATACTGTTTCAACTTAAATAAATAAATTTTATATTTTTTAAGCAGAGGATGACTGGGAAGTGCCGTTTGACGCTATCACAGACATGGTGTACTTGGGCTCCGGTGCCCAGGGCGTCGTATTCAGTGGAAATCTACGTGGCGAGATGGTGGCCGTCAAAAAATTGCGCGACAAGAGCGAGACTAACATAAAACATCTGAGGAAACTGAACCACGACAACATAGGTAAGTCAGTCAACCAGGTGGTCTGAAATGGCGACGTTTTGACGCATCTACTAAATGCTTTGTTTATGAATTCTTCAAATTGTCAGACATGTTTTCACTAACACTTATGAAAAAAGCTGTTCTGTACAGCCAGATAAAAACTTCCAATGATATTTTTAAAATAAAATCTATTACAAACCCACTTAAGGGTGTAGGCCCTCGCATAAGTATTTGCTGTAAATGCAGTAAAGCAGTAATTTTATACTACAATGATTAACCAGGATAATATTGAGACTGAAACAGAGTCTACTCCTTTTTCTCCCCGTTATATTTCTTACTTAAAATTAATTTTATTGTTAGCCCAGCCAGCGTTAGTGAGCGCACTATTGTGTAGCGGCCACTGGAATAACTAAATACAATATATGTATAAATATATATATCTCTTATCTATTAGACAAGTCCGTCCGTCTGTCTGTCTGTGGTGCTGTTTCAGCGGCCAAACCGTAAGAGATAGAGAATATTTAAGTTATAAGTTAAGAATAGTCTGATAAGACTACAAACCGGATTTGAGTAACGTAAAACTTCCGGTTTTCGAGAAATCACGAATTTCAAACGAAACCACACAAAATCTCCGAAGTTCTCAATTAATTAAATACATTTTTTTTAAATCAGGTTTGCTATATATAATACAACAATTTTGGCCAAGGTCTAACCACTTATTTGTATCGGTGCAAGACCTTTTTTTGGATTTGTAAAGTTGGCCCTGATTTAAGCTTTTACAAAATAATAATTAAGAATAATTTGTGTGAAATACTTTAACCCCTTCGAATAATAATTAATTCTTCTAAAATTAATTGGGAGAGTACTGCTCTTCTGAGATAGAGGCTGTGGCCTAGTAAAGATAAGTCTCTCCACAATCTTGTCTTAAAGAAATTAATTCAATATGTTTGTACGTTTTTTTCGTGTGACGGAAGAATAAACTATATTATTATTATTTATAAGTGCGCATCCTAATAATATTCTCACGAATAATCTAGATAAAGATTTACTCGCTTGATGTAGTTAATCCCGACCCGAAATATCTAAATACGAAAGCCGAGTGTTGCGGTTCAATCGAATATTGAGCCTTATCGTTACCTGTAACCTGTAGACCATCTTAGAGCCTGCGTTGCGTTAAGCGGGAGCACGGAGTGGGCGTCCGCTCCGCGTGGGTTTTCATGTGTTTCATGAGTGTTTGGGCATCATACTGGCGGCAAGAGCAACCCTTTCCAGAAACGGAAAGGCAGAAAATTATGATCCTGTCCAATAACAAATCAGTCCTACGACCTTGTGTTGCGTAAGTCAAAGTGAGCTTCCTACAAGAATGCCACCAAACCTAAAACGATCCGTCTTATTAATAAACGTAGACTAAAGCAAGAGTAACTCTACTCAAAGAAGTAAGTCAGTGTTGTCAAATTTCAGTATTAATAAGTTAAACCTAGGGGCTATGATGTTTCAAAGTTATACGTCAGTTATATATCATTCCATCTGAATCTCGTCTCACTTAGGGTGAAGCCAAACGAGCGTAATTTTGTGAGTTGTGAGTTGCTTATTTTCGGTCACGTATTTTACGTTCAACAGAATTTCTGTTGAGCTGCCATACGAACGTAATTTATTCAGTTACTATTGAGCGTTAGTACGGGGTGTTCGTGTCATCGAGTGCAATGGATCTATTAAAAATATTGTGTATTTACGAAGCATATTCAGAAGATGAGTCCAGAAAAAGAAACTGGGTAAACCCACTGAATAGTCAGATGCTGATATGTGGACAGTTCCATACTTTATATGAACGTTTATGTGCAAATCCAGATATGTTTGAAAAGTACTATCATATGCCATTACGTGTTTTTCAAGAATTGTTACACCACGCAACTTGTAACAAACTGTTGCTTCCCCACTCCCCTTCCTTGCCCTACCCTCACCCCGACCGAAATTCGGACGTGCTTATGTGCATTGAGTCGGCAGACAACTCATTTTGCGTTGTCGTGTGGCACCAACTGCCTTTTTGTATCAAACCGAATGCAGCAGAATTTCTGCAACCGAAATTCTGCGACTCACCACTCACAAAATTACGCTCGTTTGGCCTCACCCTTAGTGGTTGTTTATTGTGCAGTGGTCTTGCGTTGTCGTAAAGCAGCAGTGGCCTAGAGCGATTGACCAATCTCTGTTGGTTAGCAGTTAGTTCTTCCTTCATGGTTTGTAGTTTCTGACAATTTTAGAAAGCTGGCTAGATTTTAGAAAGCTGTAGTGAATGACACCGGCGCTAGTCCACCAAACACTCACATATAACTTTTTCTGAGTTAATTTTCGTTTAGGGCAGGATTTGGCTGGGTCTCAAGGGTTCAGCCATTGCGACGAGTGCTTCCGATTATCGTACAGTATCCATTTTTCATCACAAGTAATGATTCGATTTAAAATCCCTTCATTATTGTATCGGTTGAGCAAAGTAACACAGCAGTCGACGCGTGTTTGCAAGTTCGATTCACTCAATTCATGAGGTACCCTTCGTTCAAGTTTTTTACTTGGCCGATTTGCTTCAAGTGGTTTAATACAGTTTTGTCACTTACCCCGAAGCCTGCAGCTATCTCAAAACTGCTTTGTGATGGATTCCCTTCCACAATAGCCTTTAATTCTTCATTTTCCACTTTGGTATCAGGCCGTCGGTTGGTTCTGAAGGTCGAAATTTCCAGAACGAAAACGTTGAAACCAAAAACGTTCCGTGCTTTCTTTTGCGATACCGTGTGCTACATAGCGTACACATCATTAATCCTTCGAGCTGTTTCTGCAGCACTGGTGCCACGGTAGAACTCGTACTCGTAAATATACCGATATTTCATGTTTTCCATTGTGCGGTAATAAGCGACGCTAAAGAAAAAAAAGAATGAAGAAAAAAGCAAATAAATGACTGTTTTCAAAACTCAAATGTACCAGTTAATGAATTTAATACTACTATACAATAAATTAACACATATTAACTATGCCAGTATGGATTTCAAAATCGATTATTCGACATTTTTACGCATGGCAAGCCTGATAGTAGTTTCGCTGGTTGCGCGTTTAGTTTCTGCTCCTTAGAACGCGTTTCGTTACCAGTATTTGTATGACGATTTCACTTCAGGATTTTCCTTTAATCCTAACTTTTAAAAATATAACATTTACTGGAAACTGATGCTAAAAAATAAAGTAAAAAGCTGTGCAAAAATGATACCAAAACATTCACAATAAGGCGCTTTGCAGACGACGGGGCGGGGCGGGCCGGTCAATTTCGCCGCGAATAATAGCACAAAGTGAATCCTATACTTCAAACGCACACAGGGGGCAAAAAGACCGCGCCGCAGGTGCCCGGCGCGGCGGGCAGTGGCGGCGCGGCATGTCCGCGGCTGCCCGCCGTGGATCATACAAACCCGTTTATATGCAGTAACGCAGACGGCGGCGCGGGGCGGTCAGCTCAGTCCGCGCCACGCGCTTTTTAGTGATGGACTATTCACTAGAACGAACGTCCTGAACTGACCGCCTCTGCCCGTCGTGTGCTTTGTGTACGCGGCGCGGGCAGCCGCAGACATCGACGGGCAGACGCGTTCTTTATTGCTTCGCGGACAAAAAGCCCGCCCCGCCCCGTCGTCTGCTTAGCGCCTAAGGGGTTGTATGTCAATACGCGTTCTCCATTGGATTCTTAACTAAAGAGGAGATATTTCAGATAAAAGTGGTCAGTACGACAAAAAGCTAATATCATAATATGATATATTATACATACATATTATGTAAGGACCTAATATTATAATTGTGACCTTTATTGGAATAGTATTTATGTGAATTATTTATTTTTATTATCAATTCCATATCATTGGGTTTTCTGAGTGTATCACAGTAATGTTATATTATTATATACAATAATCAATGTCCAAATAGCTCGAAACTATCCTACATAATTTTAACTACACGTTTTTTTTTTTTATTTGGTATTTTGCAAATTATGTTAAGGTCTCAAAAGTTATATATTTTTACATCATATAAATAAAACTTTGAATTTTTGGTTCGGGTAGTGTTTGAGGAAGTTAAAATGTTGCTTTTCTTGTAGTGCGCTTTCGTGGTGTTTGCACGCAAGCTCCAGTGTACGGTGTGATTATGGAGTATTGTCAGTACGGGCCCCTCTTCGAATTCCTCCACAGCGGTGCATGCTTTGCGCCCAAGCAGATCTTGAAGTGGGCCAAAGAGATAGCTCACGGTATGACGTACTTGCACAACCATAAGATCATCCACCGCGACTTGAAAAGCCCAAAGTGAGTTTTTAACTTTCCTTTGTTCGTGTTCGAATTTATTTGTCCTTCTTTATCTAGAGGTGCTGATGGTTGTGAGGCTCAATAAAATGTTCCTTTCAGCATTCTGATAGCAGATAATCTGGTGGTGAAAGTGAGTGACTTCGGAACCAGTCGCGAGTGGAACGATGTGAGCACAATCATGAGCTTCACGGGTACCGTGGCTTGGATGGCCCCGGAAGTGATCCGTCACGAACCCTGCTCGGAGAGAGTGGACGTGTGGTCCTATGGGGTGGTTCTGTGGGAGTTGCTCACTCAGGAAGTGCCGTACAAAAACCTGGAGACCCACGCCATCATGTGGGGCGTCGGCACTGACACCATCTCTCTGCCAGTGCCCACCACTTGCCCGGAGAGCGTGCAGCTGTTGCTCAACCAGTGCTGGAATAGGGTGCCGCGGAATAGGTATGGTTTACCAAATATTTACTGTTAAAGTGGGATTCAGGAGAAAAATATCTAATTATCGCTCATTCACTGTTCTGATCTTAGGTATTATGACATTGTTTTTAAATTAAGAATCCTGGTATGGATTAAGCTTTCTAGTAAACTAAGATGGAAGCTAGCGTTATCTGTTTTATACGATGACGTCGATGACAGCATCGATTGGCTTGCAGACCACCGTTCAAGATAATCGCCGCCCATCTGGAGATAGCCGGGGACGATCTGTGTTCGATGCGCGCCGATTGCTTCAGCTCCACCCAGGCCACTTGGCGGAAAGAGGTCCAGCAAGGGATGGACAAATTCTACGCCAGGTTAGTGCTGATATTTTACTATGAAATGAGATGAAGAGTGAGGAATAGAATGGAGGACGCATAGGGGCACATTGTCTGAAGGAATTGGTAATATGGTGTGAATATTGTGATGATGACTGATAGATGTGTATATAATAGATATATGTAATTGATTATGATAATAGGAGATTAGACCATGACACCACCACGCATGAATGATGGGTGCTAGCGATTGCGGATGAACCCGGATAACCGCTTAAGGTGCCCTGCAAAGTACGGTGGAATTCAAGATAGTAAAAATAGTATACCGCAACAACAGAAATAAAAACTCACCGATAACTTAGCTTTGTAATGGAAAAACACAGATTTCCAGTTTTTAGGGTACCTAGTTTACACGGAATCCTCGTAAATACGCTATATTATGTATTCGTATTAATTCTAGAAAATTGGTATGGATATATCAAATAAGTCACAATATATTAGTGTTAAAAACAATATTGAAGAAAATCATGTAAAGGGGATGTTTTAATTTTCTTGTTCAACCTGTTTCTCTTTCATGTCGAATAGATCTTTTAAAAATATTGAGGCTCTGTTATTTCGTTGCTAAACACGCGTTTTATAGACAGACAAGTTGAAAAGAGTTTTATCCATAGTTTCATCTTGTTGACCTGCGCCTTATTTCATTGTCCGACGACAATTATATTGCGAAACAAGTGTAATTTTATAAGTCGGCATATTTGTCAAATTGTCAGCAATTCTTGATATGAAATCGAGACTGCTTAAGATTTACGTTATAATTGTTGTGTTTTAAGTTACAAAATGGCTCTCCGCGAAAGCTTGAACATATGAAATGTTATACAAGACAATTTATAAAGAACGAATAAAGGAGATTGCTCAAATTGGCCCAAATGCACAAAACATATTGACTTACACGGTGATTCTTGGCGTAATTTATAATTTAATTTACAATCATTGAATTTCAACGGACACCTTTGTATAATATATTTACTTTAAAACGGACTTAATTTTACCGGTTTGGAAAACATACGAATATTTTTTAATGACTATGGGTGTAGTAACATTCAGCCAAAGACTGATCGAAGTTGTTTATATAACATAAAAACAAATCTATTTTGTAAAGATCGATAAAATAAATCATTTTTTTTTATTACAGTGTGGTATTAATCCACAACTATATTATCATTTTCACTATATGAAATGAAATGAAATGAACAGTTACAAGCACTTGTGAAGGTTAAGAAGCTACGCCATCGGTTCGCAAAACTACGGCGGGAGACCTTGTACTGAGAAGAACCGGCAAGAAACTCAGCAAGGGCTGCTTTTTTCTCTCTGTATTGATATATACAGAGTCGTCAGGTTGAAAAATGACTTCAGAGATACTTCTGTAGTCACCTTCCATTACATTATTTAGGATATAGATATATAGTTACAATAAATTTTATATTTAGTATATAGGAAGCGGCATTAGATAGGTACCATATTACTGTTACAAAAACTGACTCATACCCATCACAAGGGTATGAGTCAGTCAAAATATCATCAAATTACAAGAAACACTATGTCCATGCATTTCGATCATTTAAATAATCATTAACTTTATAATAGCCCTTATTCATAAGAGTATTCTTAATCTGAGATTTAAATTTGGTTAGTGGAATCTTGGGGAACTTTGTTAAACAATGCAATACTACATCCCAGAAATGAACCTCTTGATTTTTGGAGTCTGAAACATGGAACGGCAAGCTTATTCTTAAATCTCGTGTTAAAGTTATGGGTTTTGGCTTTTTTTTGCAAATTCGTCATAGTTTTTTCTTACATATACTAAATTTTCATAAATGTATTGCGATGCCAGTGTTAAAATATTAATTTCTTTAAATTTTTCTCTAAGAGATTGTCTTGCCTTTAAATTATATATGGCGCGAACAGCTCTCTTTTGCAGAATGAAAATACTTTCTATATTAGCAGCTGAGCCCCACAACAAAAGGCCATATGACATAACGCTATGAAAGTAACCATAGTAAACCAATCTTGCCGTTTCCACATCAGTTAGAAGTCTTATTTTTTTAACAGCAAAAGCCGCAGAGCTCAGTCTACTTGATAAGGCATCAATATGAGGATCCCATTGCAGATGCGAGTCTAAAGTAATACCCAGAAACTTTGTAGAATTAAAACCCTAACACACACCATAACACTAACTCTACAGGCTGGTCATTTATTTTTAAACTAGTATTAACCTTCCTCACATTAGGTAAAGTAAACTTAACACATTTTATTTTACTAGAGTTTAGTTTTAAATTATTTACCGTAAACCAGTGAAGGACTTCAGAGAGAGCACAATTTACTTCGTCATAACAATCATTTCCTCTCCTAGCTTTAAACACTAAAGAGGTGTCAAAAGCAAATAGTACTGTCTCACACAAATCTCTTGTAAAGTGAGGAAGGTCATTAATATAAATAAGGAAAAGCAATGGGCCCAATATTGAACCCTGGGGCATGCCCATAGAAATGGGTGCTCCTGTAGACTCAGCTTGATTTATAACTACTTTCTAAATCCTAGCAGAAAGATAAGACTGTATCAGACTTAGTGAAATATTTGATACACCATAATGCTTCATTTTATTTAACAATGTTTCATGGCTAACGCAGTCAAACGCCTTAGATAAATCGCACAAAATGCCAATAGCATCGTGCTTACTCTCCCATATATCAAAAATGTGTTTGAGAAGTGCAGTTCCAGCATCAGTAGTACTTTTGCCTCTTGTGAAACCAAACTGTTTTAAATGAAGTAGCTTATTTATAGAAGAGTGTGCTAGTAATTGGTTATAAATTATTTTCTCAAATACTTTACTTAGCGCTGGTAATACAGATATAGGCCTAAAATGGCTGGGATCTGATTTGTCACCAGCCTTAAAGAGAGGGATAACTTTAGCACATTTCATTAGATCTGGAAACACTTCCTCATCAATACATTTGTTAAATATAATGGCCAGTTGTGGCGCAATGACAGTGATAATCGGTTTTATTATATATGTTGATATTCCCCATAAATCCTCTGTCTTTTTAATATTAATAGAATTAAATGTTTTTATAATACAATCACTACTGATATGTCTAAAATGAAAATCATTACTGCACTTATCAACACTTGACTCAAGGAGGGTCATTGCTAACCTAGAATAAGAATTAAGATTTCTAGTTGTTTCAAACGGTGCACTAGAAAATAAATTTTCGAAAGTGTTGGCATCGGCATCATCTGTCCGAATAATCTTGTTGTCTATTTTTAATGAATATGTGTGTTCATTAAATTTATTTCTTCCAGTTTCATTATTAATTATATTCCAAGTTGTCTTTATTTTATTATCTGATAGACTAATTTTTTTTGAAAAAAATTTAGCTTTCGCCATTGCACACACCTTTTTAAAAGTTTTTGAATAGTTTTTGACATATTATATAAACTTAGGATCAGATGAGAATGCTTTGAGAGCATATAATTGATACAACTTATTTCTACTTTTGTAAATACCAGGTGTGGCCCAATCACTAAATTTCTTTTTAGAGCTATGGCATTTTATAAATTTGCGTTTGAATATTTTATTAAATTCATCTTTAATTAAATTGAATAAATCTTCATACAAAATATTATTATTATTACAAACTGTTAAGTCCGATATTTTATGATAAACACTATCTTTAAAATTATTTATACCCGTTTGTGTAATTGGTCTATAAGTTAGGTCATGTTTGTGTGAAGCATGATGGTGTTCAAGAGAGGCTAATTGTCCACTATGATCAGAATTAATACAATTTATTATTGATTTATTAAAAACTTTCCTATTTCAAAAAATATTATCCAAACAGGTGGCTGATGCATGTGTGATACGGGTAGGCTCACAGAAGGTATGCTTCAAGTTATATGATTTAAATAAGTTTAGAAACCTACCCACTAATGGGCACTTAACTAAAATATTTATATTAAAATCACCTCACACAACAACATGCAAATGTGCACAGATAATTATTATAGATGGTAAGCGACATCATAAAGTCTATTGCCATAAATTTTTCGCCAAACACATTATAATCTGTATTTATGTTAGACTAAGGTAACTCTATCTATGGGCCTATGTTGCCTGACCATAAATTAATAAATAAATAAAATTATAAGGTGTGATACACTAAAAATCTAAAATATGGTTATATTAAAAACATAACAATAATAATGAAGCTACTGAATATATGGCTATATAACCTAAATCTCTTAGCTTTCTTTGGTTAACGAGAGTTTAAAAATTCTCTCTAATCTTTGGCTCATTCACAATCATCACACAGTTTCTGTCACAGAGTACCTTTTAACCGGAAATGCATAGACGACACCTGATTTTAAAAGTTACTCTTATGCATTAACTTTAAAAACAGGCAACTATCTGTTAATCTACATGCTCTATATACCTGAATCTAATCCATAATTGCGGTACTTGGCTTAATTGCCTTAGTTTACTGTAGAACTTATTTAAATCTAAAGAAAATATAACTAGAAAAAATTCCACGCGGACCAGGCAGCAGACGGGACTCGAACCCGCACCCTTCGCAATCCGGGCGAATGCACTGACCAGATAGATAGATTTAAACATCAAGCAGTTACATGCTTTAAAAATAATAAAAATTATAACTGTAGAACTTATTATTTTTTATTATTTTAATATGTTCAGTTCTCAGGGGTGTCCGTCAATAATATTCGTTTCTACAGTATTTTATATATAATTTTGAATCTAGGAAACAATTTTTCATGATTATTGGTCTTTAGGCCAAACATGTATGGAAGCTGAGCAATCTCCTTTCCCATTTCATATAACTGATTTTGCGTTCAAAGAAAAATTTGATATAATAGATCACCCCAAAACAAACCTACTGCTTACATAATCTCTGGGTACGTTTTGACAGAAGTGAGCAACCACCTGTGCAAGAGACCACCACACAGCGCAGGGAGGAATTGAAACAGGCGAGAGATGTTCGACAGATCTATGAGCAACAACTATCGCGAGCCAACGAGCTCTACATGGAGGTGTGCGCGGTCAGACTCCAATTGGAGCAGCGCGAAAAAGCCATCGCCGAGTAAGACCTCTTACCATCACCAGATATAATTATCATCAGCTTTTCAATGTCCTCAATATGAAGGGAACTCGATTAAATTTTACCATGCAAACCCTGTGCGGATTTGTGGGTGCTAACGACTGCAGCCACTACAGGTTTCGTGCCGCAGCTGCAGCCACAATTTAAGTGTCTGCAGCACAGATTAGCAAAAAATTGTTAAGTTTTGACTTCATACAATTGTCTATTGCCAAAGTTGCTGCATCATCAGGATTTAAAACAATTATAATACTTTATTTATTTTGATGTAGACACTGGTGTTCATGTATAATGAGAAATTAGCTTTATGACACCATTTTTTAATATCAGAAACATTCAACTTTCTTTAATAATAGGGATGATGACTATTTTTTTTTCTGCGTTTATCAGGTAGATTATCAAAAAGTCTTGGACACTTATTTTTTCTTTTTTCACATAATATAAACATTGCAGAGATATATTGATTTGAAAAGTTGCATGACGTCACTTTTGAGTACACTTATAAGTGAAAATTCACTCAAAAGTGACGTCACGAGCCCCTACTCCCAAACTTTGACGTGCTATAACTTTGTCATTTTTTGAGGATTTATTTGTTTAATGTTATTTTGGTTTGGTGGCATTCGAGTAGTCTTATTGTATTAGTATTAGTGTATCTTCGATTTGGGAAGATAGTACCTGCTGTGTTAGTTATTTTCTTGACTAGAAAATGTTATAGCTCAGCGTGTGTTGCAGACGCGAGAAGGCTTTGAAGGCGTGCCGGTGCGGCTTCCGCAAGAACTTTAAGTATTACCAGCGGCAGACCTCGTCATCTTCCGACGGCTTCAAACCGCTGGACTTCCAACTGGTAGACCCCAGCTCCCGGCGCCGCAAAAGGACAAAACAGGAGCCGGCACAACTCCTGGTCAGGTACACCGACAGGGACGAAGACACCAAAGATGCCACCGTCACCGTCAAAGCTGTCATGTCCTGCGACTGCGGCGAAGAGAGCGACAACAACAACATGGACACAGTGAAACAGATCAAAGACACCCTCGTCGAGAAAAACGGCAACGTCGACTTAGCAGACAAGTTCAAACTTGTCGACAATTATGTACCCAGCGTCGCGCAAGTCTAAGTAGCACCTTACACGCGGTTATACAGGGAAGAGTGCGGATGTATTCTTTTTTTACCTCCCTTTCTCTCTCTTTCAATATTTCTCGCGATGAGTGTCGTTTTGGTGTGTGCGCATTCCAGTCCGAATAGGGTTACCATCCGTCCGGATTTCGACGGACATCTGGATTTCTTATTATTAGCTAAGCTAAGATGATTATACTTTAGGAAAAGTTATATATTTTAAATTACTTTATAATTACTTTTTAAAGTTATACAAAGAGAGAAATTTATTTGTGCGACCTTGATTATGTCTGGGCTTTTTTGAGATTTCCTACTTTTTGTTGGGACTTCGAATTTCCCGGTGGTGGTAACCCTGCGAGCGATGGTAAAGGACCCCAATAACTGTTGGAAGGATCTTAGCTTAAATCTGTCATCGTATTAATTCATACCAAGTCTGAAATTTGCAGTTATTAATGTTGTTTGACCATACACGTGGATCAATTTAGCCGTTGAGAATTCTCTATTTATTCTATATATGTATATAAATGAAATGAATTAAATACAAAAAAATAGGTGTTCAGTGTAAATGCATAACAGTAAATACAAAAAAAAGTTACAATGATAATAATTTTAATGATATAATAATTATATAGATGCACTATTGCAGTCCTTTTGCGAATATAATACTGATTTTCAGTAAGTTTACATTTGTTATCTATGTGTGTTCACTGTTCATTAAATATTAAGTTCATACCTTTTCACAACTTCAGAGATGAATAATTACTTATTATGATACAATATAAATCTTTCAGTTAATTTACACTTTCACAAGCACTTTTGTGATCATTTCAATCGCAGTTGTTTCGATACTTCATAAAGGCTGCAAACATTAGAATTAGACTGTAATTTTAATCTACAGTGACTGTTGAAAATGTAAAAAAAAAATAGATTTTTTCCGATTGATTATAGAAATGGTGTGTAGTTTGATATGTGCAATCCCCCAGTGTTCCCCAAACCAAGATCCTTCCATAGATTTAAGTACTAGTACTAATATTCCTTGATTGATTCTTAGAAACGGTCTCCTATCATCAGCAATAACTTTTTAGCATTATCTGTTGTAATGGAAGGCGAAATAAATACTTTACACGCAAATTTCGATCTGGAAGAAAACTGGTTACCATTGACTATGACCCTAAAACACCATTTTCTTTTATAGTTTTGTGATAACCTAACAGTAAAAAGGTGCTGGAATTTGGCGTTTATTCAATCTGTATCAAAATGTCTGGCTCGAATACTTTCAGAATCTCATATTTTATGTTATAAAAACATCCCTACCGCCACCTTCAAAGTATATTAAATGCACATATAACCTCACAGATTTATGTTGAAGAAATGGATGTGTACTTTTGATGAAATTTTGGAGGAAACTCCTATTGCCCAGAATATAGTAATAACAAAAATATAAATAAAATATTGTATTATTAGTTAATACTTTTTAAATAATAACTTTTTTTTTTTTCGAAACTTGGTGTTGCCAGATTTAAAAATTCGATGCTCGCAAAAAAACAAGGAGAGGTAGAGCAGTAATAAATCAGTATGAGCAAATTAAAGTACCAATATTAGTACCCATTTATTTATCAAATATATTTATTACATAATTGTTTTGATTTTTTAAATTAAATTGTGATACTAAATAAAGAATTTCTGGTTAAAAGGCAAGTTTTTACTAACGAACCTTTGCCAATTCTTTTGTCTTCAGTGATATTTAAATGGTTTTATTTTGTTCCCTTGCTATATTAGTTATTACATAATCCGTAAATACTTCGTTTGTACTTTCGATCATTCAATTATTCATTCGTACAACCATTCGGCCTACAGAATAAAATTTTGTATAACCTAGCGGAAGTTTTTTTCTTTTAGATAAAACGGGGTTATATATTCGACCGGAACATATATGCATTTGTTTATTTTTACACTGTCACGTCAATGTCACACCTGAAAACGGGAAATTAAAGTTTATTTTTTATTAAATACATCTGGAAAATATACTGATTAATTTATCAGCCAGTCTTGCCTTGTCATATCAACGAATTGATCTCGTCTCTTACAATAATAACTTTTCTTGATACATTCCCTAAAAGTGATATTTTATTTTAAGTAAAGTTGATGATATTCGGCATTTGAATAATGTACAAGTTATTGGATATGTGGATAACATTTGCTTTACTGACTTTATATTCTAACTTCATGCTTAGGAAGTTAGTTTATTGATACATCAAGGTACAAAATCTTATTGTCAAACATTGGCAAGACGAGGGCAAATAAGTGTAATTTGTAATAGAGAATGCTAAAACTAGTGATCAGTAGCATCTAAAATGCGTTACGACGAAAAAATGACCACGCATAATTAATGAATCGCATTAATTTATGTTCAGAGGTTCAGACCTGTAAAATATTTATTTTCAATGCAGCTGCGACGATAAAATTCGGTGAAGATAATTCAAGGGTGAGATAACAGAGCCTTCCAAAATTTAACGAAATTAAGCTAGCATACTTTTAAAGTAGGTCTGTTGGAAAGATCGTTTCGCAAAATGTACAACAAGGTACGTGTTGACTCTATCACACACGCTCGATGATAAGTGTTAGTGCAGATAGGATGCAATGATAATTTCACTTGCCATTTTGGAACTATTAGGGAAATTCGACTTGTAACAATCGACAGAGTAATATGGTAATTCTTTTTTCTTATTCGACGCAGTCTCGTACGCGTGGTTCTAAGAAGGAAACCAATGAAAAGGGATTGGATAAAACGGCCACTAAGAATTTTGCGCGGCCTCGGGACCTTAGCGTCTCGTCGTCTGCATAAAATTCATTTTGATATTTCAATAACAACAAGTATCTGTTGACATTGAAAATTTTCCGTTTGACGGCGATGTTTTGAGTTAGTTTGTAAGTCTCTTATTTTTTTATATTATTGTTTTAGCTGGTCTAAATCATTTTGTTTTAATATATTAGGTCTATTTATACCAATTAAGTTGATAAGAATTCCCTGCAAAGTGCATTAACACATACAGAATTATGTATTTATATAGCTGGTATTTATTTTTATTTACTTGTTAATAGCTGATGATTTTCAGTTAATAGTGCGGAAATGTTATTAAACACGAATGCGATCGCTAATTCGCGCGAATTTTGTGAAACAAATTATATTACGCGATTGTCATTATCTGCAAAGACAGCGTCCTGCCTTCAAAAGTGGTCCTGTTTCCAAAAGTCCTGGATTCAAATCCCGGTAGAATAATTTATTTGTGTGACGACCATGAAATTTTGTTTCTGAATCATGATTGTTCAGATGGTGTTTTTAGATTTCGTAGTACAAGTTCTGTTCTGTTTCTGATAATTTCGTATGACCAAAATTCGAGCGGCCTGCGTATTTGAATTCAATTAGGACAATGCCTAAGGCACTAATTATATTAGTTTATTATTAAAATATATCTTATCGTTTTACGAAAGGTTGTGATTCTACGTCATCAATCTCATTATGATTTATTCTTATTTGTCTGTTTTATTTAAGGAATTATATTAGTGGTGTACCTTATTGTTTAGCTTATGGTTAAGTACTTTTAAAATCAACTTAAATTCACTATCTTTTTTTTATCAGTAATTGTAACGAGAGGTCTGAGATCTGAATATGTAATATCGTTAAATCATTTTTTTTATGTTGGTTTCAATTTATTGTTTTGATATGAATGCCTGTTTTTTACTTTGCAAATGTGGACTATGTCGGCTGCCATGAGTTGTAACGATAACGTAGGTTGTATTGGATTTGGGATCAATTCTTCTTTTTCATTATCTATTCATTAATGTAACTGGGTAATGCCGAATTTTAACATAAGCAACAAGCAAATGTGAACCGTAACGTAAGAAGATTAACGATGTATTTTCATAAACCACGCGACCATTTATAAAAATTGCGGTGTCGTACCTGTCGGTTTTTGAAGTGTATTTTTTTCTCTTCTCTGAAGTATTTTTGGGAGATAATATAATGTTACGTGTAATAATATTATATAAATTGTTAGTGTCGAAATTGATATTTTTATATCATATTTTTTGCTGCTCGTACGTAGCGGCCATATGCGTGAGTCAATTCGAATCTTAATGACAGGCGTTAAGGTAACTATTAGCTTGCACCACGCGTGATACGCAATTGCTTTTGTGGTTTTTGCTAAATACCTAGGATATGGGTGCCATTGAATAAATTATGGTAGCTTGAGAAAAAGTATTTTTAAAATTAACTTTGGGTGCCTAGAGCTTGTCTGTACTTAAAATTGTTCACATTTACTTATGAAAAACGTCATGACATCATCAGATAGCGCGAGCGCATCCTATGCGCACTAAAGTACAAGTTTAACAAATAATAATAATAATCTCAACATGTAAGCTTGAAAGGCGAGAATAAAAAACATTTAAGAAATCTCTTGTATTCTTAAGGTTGACTTTCAATGTAACGTTATCGTCACTGTCGTCCATCTATCTTACTCTAACTTAAATGGATTTTAATGTCGCAAAAAGGACACAATACGACGAATTAACTATACAAAGAATATCGATTTTGAGAGTACAGCCTCTGACTTTAAGATGCTTTCGATTCTTAAAGCAGCCTAACCTGTACCCTTAGCATGAGCCAATATCGATATCGAATATTTTAATTCGACCTCTGAAACTTGAATAGCTCCACAACGGACGCCACGTGAATTAAAAATGGGAAGTACGTGTATATAGTACGGACTTCTTGACATTTGACGCGAATCGAGATCGAATTCGATAAAGCTTCCTGCTAAGAGTATCGATGAAGACTGCAAAATTAAATTTTGAAATTGCATAAATTCATGTACAGACTGCACTAAAATAGTATTTTTGATGTGACTTTACTATTTTTATGATAATGTATAATTCGTCATATGTCTATGCATATGTCTATTGTCTTAATGTTTGTCTTTTGTACCGTTTAATTTGAAGTGT